TCCCCTCCCACCAACTCGCCGAACATCAGCCGTTTCGGAAGCCGCCCGTCCGGCTGTCTTGCCACGGCCCCCGCAAAGAGCAGGCGCCGTTGACGGACAGTGGCCTCCACGCTCTGGCAGCCGACCCTCTTTAGCGCCTGGGCGTATGACAGCTGCCGGTAGGTGCCTCGTTTGCGCCGGTAGCCGATGACTCGCAGGAGTAGCCGGTGGTGTGTCGTCTGCAGCATTCCGTAGTGGTTGCGGCGTGGGGACCATGTCATGCAGCCGTATAGCAGTGCCTCCACTGCCTCCGCCTGGAGCAGGCGGGCTTTGAGGCGAAACGGTGCTCCCATTGCTGTTGTTGTTGTTGTTTCTCACATTAGCTCTAAAAAAAAAAAAGATTGGGAGCCCGTGGTCTCAAAACCCGGTATACACGACCCCACGAAGAAACAGAAAAAAAATAGGGTACAAAAACCACACGGAAGAGAAACAAAATGATAGAAAGAAAGACCAGCTACTACCGCACCAAACGAGAAAAAAGAGCGTCGAGGAGACCGATCAAAATAAAATAAAAGAACGCTTCCCACACCCGCCTACAACGCCGGAGGGTTCCGTGCCGGGTTCCCGCCGACCAGGCACTGTTGATGCTTGATTGAAATGCCACCATCATGGGACTTGGAGATGAGATACTTCCTGTGAACACCTCGCAACCGCAAATGTTGGTGTTGTGCGTGGCTTTTCATGAAGAGGCCCCAAAATGACCACCACGCGAGCGGGACTGTCACACGTGTTGGCGCCTATGGAAAAATCCCTTTTTCTTGTACTAGTTGTGCCGTCCTTTGCTCTCTCTCTCTCTTTCTCTCTCGATGCTCGTGCGTTCCGCTGTCCGGCTCCCCGGTCAACACAATGGGGCTCCCCAGGCGTCGCAGAGAGCGATCACTGAGCAAAGAGAGAGCTCGCAACTTTCGGCAAAGAGGCGGAGAGACACACACCATGACGGCTACGTCGATGGTGGCCTTCTCCGTTGGTGCTTTACTCGTCGTGTTCCTGTGGGCTCGCCTGCAGGCCTACAGAGTGCGAGGGCCGTGGGCGAGGGCCGCCGGGCCGGAAGGACATAAGGAGGAGGATAGGTGCGTTCGCATGCTCTCACACAGCAGTAGTGTGTGGGTTGCTTTCGTCCGCATTCCCCCCCCCGGGTTACTGCCGTCTCTCACCTTGTTTGCACTCCAACAGTTGTTGGGGTACAAGAGCTGTACGAGAGGGTCCAGTTGGCCAGGTAAGTGCAGCTTTGCGCGAAAGCCCGTGTACGTGAGAGGCCAATCCAAGTAGTTTGTACACCGATGAAGGCTAGAGATAAAAAGATAATTCGCCAGTCCAGCGCCACAGCATCCGTTGACATTTCTTCGCAGTCAGATACCAGGCACGTGGATACGGCCCGATTGTGCGAGGAGTAAGTGGATCACCAGTTTTGATCGCTTTCGCGTGTTGCTTGCGCTGCCATCGCTTCGAGAACAGCGTGGTATTCGTCAGCTTGTATTGCTGGCGGACTGCCAGATTTCTTTTGCTCTGATGGCAGGTGGTCTGCCCAGCTCCATCGTCTCGATTTGATGAACAGCACCCCCCGTTGCATGGATTTGCCGCAGGATCGTCAGCAAGGACATGTCTCGTGGCCCCATAAGCAGCAGCAACGAAGAAGCCTCGCCTCCCATCCCCCAGAGACATTGTACCCTCATTAGTCATCCAGACGCAGTTAGGAAGGAAAATGCCACACGCACGCGACATGAGACCGAACCCCCATAACCGTCGTTCATCTCCACACTCCGTGCCTCGCCAACTTCCGCTTCCGCATCCATGCAGTTTGGAATGGCTGCGCTTGAGAAAACAGTATCTCGTTAGCCAGCTGGCGATTGCCGACTCCCAGGTGGCGCAACTTGGGGAGGCGGACAACAGCAACAACGTTCACGATGCTGGGATAAGCAACAACGGAGAGCCGCTAGCTCTTCCGCGAAAAGGGAGCGGAGGGCCTCAACGGGGCTCTGTTGATGTGCGGGCACGGGGCGACGGGGTGACAGGGGAGGGGGTAGAGGCGGAAGGGCACTTCATTTTGGGGCTTTCCGCGGAAGGTTTCGGATCTACCCCTGTGGATGAGGTACGTAGTGGTCATTCGTGGCATCCGTGAGTGTCACCGTTGTCCTTGTCTTTGACTGTATTTGTGTCGCACACATGCATGACATGTTGAGAACGGCAGGTAACCAGCAACCTAGCCGTCGGTGAGTTGGGGTTCGGAGCGCAGCGTATATGTTGCTGCCGTGTGAAGAGGCCTTGTCCTGGTGGGTGTGTCGTGTTGTTACATTTGGGTGCTTCAAACCGAGAGCCGGGGCCCGTTCACGGGCACCAATAGTTCCGACGCGTGTGGCGGAATGGTTCGTCAGATCTCTACCCATCCATCTTTGCTCGTCATCACGCGCACGTTTTAGCGGGTGGGTTTTCGCTACAACTATTTATGAGGTATCTCGTGGCACCCCTACACGCCAGGCGCAATAAGGTTTTGCTAAGCGAGCTTTGTCAAACTATCCCGCTCCAAAAACGATGTTTGTCTTCTTTCCGAGTCGAGAACCAAGTGAGTAACGTATCCCCGTTGGCAATGTACGAAGCGGCTTTCTGCATGTGTTTTGGCCATGAATCCATGCCAACGAGCGCGCGAGTACACACACAGCACTACATCGTTCCGACAAAAATGTTTCTTTTCCCCTTTCGGCGTACCAAGATGATGGCGAGGTACGACACGCGCGCTTGCGATGGCTCGTTCGGGAACGGTCTGGTGGATGCGTGGAGACGGACGGGGACGGAGTGCTGCCAACCCGCCGAAGCACTAGCGGACGGTCCGGACGCTTCTTCCGTCCACTGCCACTTGATCCGTCAGGTGGGTAGGGATTTTGCCTGGAATAATCGGACCTACACATGTTGACGAAGACCCGACAACTATCTCAAGTGGGTAATCGTTGCCCATCACATCCAGCAACACTATTAATGATAGTATAGTGGCAACCCTGGGACCCTGACCTTGTTCTATCGAGTGTTCATCCAATGTTTCTCGTGGCAGTGGTGAAGCATGCGACGGCTCATTTCGTCCTCAACAACCCCTGCACAGTAGTAGTTTAGGCGTAAGGTAGTTGCTCACCTAGAGAAGAAACCCAAAGCAATCTTGCACCACTTGGGACAGGCCGTTGCGTTGTCATAGGGAAAGTCTTTGCCGATCTCACCCGTTTCTATATTGCACGTACAATTTATATCCATCCCTTAGCCTTGGACAAACGTACATGGCACAAAGCACCCTTGTACATAGCTCCTTGTATTTTGTGTTTTAATACGGCGACTCCGTTGTGCTTGCCTGGCGCGTTCGACTCATGACCACCCCAATGAACCGCATCTTTACACCGTACATGGTCAAGTGCTTGCCTCCTCTTTTTGTCGGTCGCAGGATGACCACCACGGCAACGGCGACAACCTGGTGCACATGAAAAACGTGCAGCTCGACCTGGGAGATTTCAAGGACCAGAACGTGGCGACGAGGGTCATGACAGCGTGAGTGAGATGATGCTCATCTTAGGTGTTGCTGCTGCAGTCACGGAACAGACGGCTTTGGGGTGTGAGGCGTCATTGCACGGGCTGTCTAAGGTTGGCCCCATTTAGGCGTGGTGGCACCAACCGGGGGGGGCGGGGGGGTGTACTCATAGTCGTGCATGCCGTAGTCGTTAGACCATTGACCTCGCATCCCTACAAAGCCGGGACGGAGCACGCCGGGTTCTCACCGGACCAGGCTCTCACATCACCAAGCGCGAAGCGCCGTGAGATATTCGGCGAGTCGCATGAAGGGTGCGCTGCATCCTGCTAAGGGTGTTCGGCATCTTGTGCTTACTTCCTTGCGTACGGATGACAGCTGCGTATGAATTAATTTACTTTCTGGTGCTTTCACTTCCAGAGACAGTTGTAAGCACTGTGTAACTGCCTCGAGGGTGCTTGACCATTTTAAGACAAGGTGGTGCGATCATCCCCCTTGCGCGGAGCGAGTGTTTTCCACCCCGCACAACATGATCTACTCG